AGAAATGGATGCAGGAGAACGGGCTGAAGCTGAACCCGGACAAGACGGAAGTTCTGAGGGTGGGTGGCCCTGTGGATGGTGGCTTGGGAAACTCCCTCATGTTTGGGGGGGTGGCCCTGGCCACGAAGAGTGGGGTCTGCAACCTGAGGGTACACCTGGACCCGATGCTCATCATGGAAACGCAAGTGGCGTCGGTAGTCTACACCGCTTTTTTCCACCTTTGGCGGATTGCCCGGCTGTGACTTTACCTAGACACGGGGGTGCTCACTACCTTAGTACATGCACTCGTAATTTCTACATTCTACGCGTGGCTTCCTTTGAAGCTGATGCGGAAACTTCAAGTGGTGCAGAATGCAGTGGCCAGACTCCTTACTGGAATGAGAAAATATCAACATATCTCTCCTACTCTGGCCATGCTGCACTGGCTGCCCATCCGTTTCCACATTGACTTCAAAGTGTTAATGCTTACATATAAAGCCCTAAACGGTTTAGGACCTCGATACTTGGCGGAACGCTTACTCCCAACTAGCTCTACCCGTGTCACCCACGTGAGCCAGGAGGTGAGGCTGAGGAGCCTGACGCCAAGGGAGGCCCGGAAGGAAAGAACTAGAAACCGGGCCTTCTCGGCGGTGACTCCTCGTCTCTGGAATAACCTACCTCCAGAGATTCGCGCTGCACCCTCGCTGGGTACTTTTAAGAACCAACTAAAAATGTGGATGTGTAGGCAGGTCTTCCCTTCCAGTTAATTCCTGTCCTCTTTCCTTTTTTTCTCTTTATTTGATTTATTTTGTATTTTTTCCATTGCAAAATCATTTAATTAATTAATTGATATAAATTTTTCTTGAACTCGTTATGTTTTATGTTGTAAGCCACCTAGAGTAGTCGAAATGACTAGATAGGTGGGGTATAAATACAATAAATAATAATAATAATCTACAGTCTACCCATTAGAGCCACAATCCTCTTATAGAACATTGTGTGCCTAAGAGCAACCATGCTGCCATTTTTCATATTTGGCGGGTTTTCTGTTGCACATCCAGTTGGGCTATTGTTTACACAACCAGAGGATGATTGGCTTGCCATAGATGGTCTGCATAATACCTCCCGCCATGTTTGCTCTTATGAAATCTATAACACAGCAGGATTCTGGTCTGCTTTTTTAGATGTACGCATAAGAAGGGTTAAGAATGTAATAGAAATTATAATACAGTACGTGACTGTTACTAACATATCTTCAGTCTCTGGGGTAGTAAAGCCATGTTTCTTAGGAAGCTCTGATCAGATAGAGGTTGTTTTCTGTTGATCCTGTCTGCTCAGTGACACACCCAGATTTTTTCTCTGCGACATGGCCACTGGGAGCTATCAAGTTAAAAGATTCATACCCTTAAGACCACACTAGATGCAACAATTCATTCGTGCCACTAACAAATACATGATAATTAAAAAAACAAAAACAAATAGCAGCTCTAAAGGGACACCTAGATAATGATTACAGTATAAAAGTACCAATACTCCGACTTGTGTAACGTAGTCGAACCAGTGCTCACCAGAATCCTTTGAAAATACTCAGATGGCCAGATGACTGTGAAATCTCCCATCCACAGGGGAAGAATGGATGTTTAGTTGTAATGTTTTTTGTTAATTATTTGTTAGATTTTTAATCTTTTTAAGTTTGTATACGGTATTTAGATATGAATAAAATGTTGGGGGAAAAATATCCCCCCTCTACATGCCAAAGGGCCAAACTAGATGTGATGTTATTTGTGCAAAATTAGAAAGTTTTTAAGAGCCACTCAATCGCAAGTTGCACAAATAACATCATATCTCATTTGCCTGCTAAGCAGACAAAAAAGGACAGTTTTTCAAGTGAAAGTGGTTTGAAAGATGATTCACAACATAGAGTATGCATGTTCTTATATTTTTCCCTTAATTTCCAGGTTTTTATGTTGTTTAAAAATGCATAGAGATTGTCTGGGACTGTGAAAATGGAAAGTTATCTTAAAATTTTGTCCCTTGCACATACTGTAGCTACTTAACTGCATCTTCATAGTGCTGGGCTGAAATGCCATCTTCTTTGATCAGGCTTTCTCTTTGTTTCTTTCTGCAGGTGTTTGGCCAGACACCGACTTTTATAAGCAGTGTTCGCCAGTGGTATCTTTGGCCGGAGTTACCATGCAATCTGGTAAATTTCAAGAATTTCCAAGGCTGACAATCTTTTGTAGAAAGCAAAACTTGATATCTCTGAATTGAGCTTTGGGTAATCCTGGACATCAGGGTTTAACACCAAAAGCCTGTCTACAACCAACTGGTTTTTGCCCATATTGAAAGGTGGCTGCCATATACTGAAGCAGTGGGGACATTCCTGCCCCACTGAGGCAGTAGAGGTGGCATAGAAATATGAAAAAATCTGTCATTCTATCATCCAGGACCAGAAGGGCGAAGATTCTAAATAATTGTGTTCCCAAGTTGATAACAGGCATCTTTTCCTCAGAGCTAGTCTTGTCTTCCCTTCACCTTCCTCATTTTTAGCTAGCCCATTCTGGAAACATTTCCTCTTCCTTTTTGACCTTTAGTTCTCTTTGTACAGAATTTGCATGACTAAGGGATATTGTGATTCAAATAGTAGCATGTGGGTAAATTAACTATGCCCCTGGTCCAGAAAGCACAGCTGCTCTCTTTTATAGAGAATGTCTCTATCCTTGCCTGTTTTCTTGTTTCCTTCTAAAGAAAAGGGTAAACCTTGAAGTTATCCAAAAGCCTTAGATTTCAGGATCCCTTACTGGTGTGTCACCCTCTCCCCCACCCCCAAAGAACTGGCACAACTTTGTTCTTCAATGTCTCATTACCCTTTTGGGGCGCTGTACAGGTATCAAAATACAAAGGCTTGTTGAACTGGTTGGAAAAACATCGCCTCCCTTTCTTTTGCAAAACCAACTTGTGCCTGCACTATGTTCTTTGCGAGGAGCTCATCAGCTTTATCCGGTCTCCAGAGGCGGGTAAGAGTTGAGCTTCTTTTGAACGTTGAAATAAATGTTTTGAGTGTGAAAGCACAAGGAACTGGCATTATCTTGGCTACATGCAAAGTAGGTATATCAGTGGAACCACCCTCCCACAAAATAAAAAAGAAACTGAATATACCTGTTCAGGTACTTCCTTTTACATTTCTTTAAAAACATGGCTGAAATTGACCATTTTTCTGACCTGGTGTGGCCTACAGTGAGGGCTGAGGGAAAAAATTTGGCTCCCAACCCCCTCCCCTGAGGTTGCTTGCTCCAACTCAACACAGACAGTCATATAGTTTTACAGACACAAGAATACAGACTGATGATGTGCTGTTTTGCCCCAATCAGTGCTCCAACAAACAACTTCTATATCTAGGGAAGGTTTTTGGTATACTTCACTCTACCCCCTGCTCCCACATGCTTTATTGGGTGACCTGGTCTTTGCTTTGGCTTTATAGCGGAGATGCTGAGATGGAAAAAAGCCGATCAGTGGCTTCTTGAGAAATGCATTGGTGGCAGCAGGGGAATGTGGCGCTTCCGTGCCTTCATGCAAGGAATGGCAGGTGAGAGGGGAGAAACTCAGCCCTAGTCAGGAATTATGTCTGCAGAGACACAGAGCTACTCAGAGCTAAAAAGTTCCTCTTCTGGAACAAGGGGGCCCCCACATTGTTTTTAGTATTAGCATGTGGTGTCCACCCTCGTGCCCCTTGCTTGACCTTCAAGCCCCAGAGCACACACCCACAAACACTCTCTCCTTTTACACTTGCTGCCACCAGGTGATCTCTAAATCACCATTACTTCAGAAAGACTCAGGTCCACTCTTCAAGTTATTTTAAATAAAACTTTGGTTTATTGATTACAGAGATTCATAAATATCTTCAGTAGCTAATCACACCTAAATTTCCCAAACTACACACTCTATTATTCTGTCTGGCTTTTCTCTCCTGCCTGACTCTTACATTTCTCTAACTGACTCAAACTGCCTCTCTGACTCCGCCTCTTATAGCATCTCTCTTGGCTCCGCCTCTCAGCAACATGAATATTCATAAACTATTACATAACACAAGAACCATAGATCTAATAAAAGGAGAACGCTACATAGCATTATTGGTTTTCTTGAATTATTAGTTATATGTGTATCTTGCCTTTCTTGCAGTGAGCAGAAGGCAGGTTAAGTGGCTCTGGTTCTCCCATGTTTTCCTCACAGTGTTTCTGTGGGGTAGAGCAGGCTCAGAGAGAATGTCTGCCCCAGGGTTGCCCAATGAGTCTCACAGCTCAAGGATCCCTGGAAGCTGGATCTTCCAAGTCTCCACCCAACCCTCTAAAACTGCCACACTGTCCTGCACTGTTAGACTCATCATGGGTCATATTTTAGCTGCCGGGTGGGGGACATGCAGCTTTGCAGACCCATAAGCTCCATTCCACCCAGACATTTTAAAAAAAACTCTCAACCTATATTTTTTTTAAAAAAAGAATTATTGCTCAGAAAGTCCCTATGAACTGTCCAGGAGCATTATTTTGCTATTTTAAAAGAGCCCCCTCCCCAGCATATTTAGAGCCTCCATGTCCCCCTCCTGTTTATTTTATTGGTTATATTTTGGGCATACAGGGGGGCATTATTCATTACAAACCGTATTTTTGGGTTTTTTTAAACCATTTTTTTTTCAGTTAAGAGAGACCCACTCTAGGAATATTTACAAAGTATTACCACAACTTCCCCATTAAAAAATTAAAATTTCCCTTTTTTGGCTCTACCCCCTTTAGCTATAACAACAACAAAAAATGGTCCTCGATTCTGCTGAGATCACCCATCCCTGTCTCAGATCAGTTGAGACTTTAGCAATTCTCACCAGCTTGGTTTTTCAGGTATATTTCCATGGTGAACAGGCTTGCTTGTACTTTTGATAATTATAGAGTGGAATTCTCAGGAACTGAGATGCTATGCCAGCTGCCAAATTTTATGCACAGTGACACATGCAGTGTTTCTGAAATGAAGCTGTGACCTTTCATCTGCTCTGACAGGAGAAGAGCTGACCAAGTTTTGGTTAGCTGCAGAAAGAATCCTTGGAATTGACGAAGCCGATGAGTCCCAGCAAGACCTCTATGTTTCACTGATCCAGGTGTTGATGGCCACACACTTGCAGGAGGGCTCCACCGTTGTCACTCTTTGTAATACGTCCATTGGTAAGGTGCAAGCATGCACGTAACATAAAGGTTAAGATGGCATTTCCCCCTAGTGGTGTGCTTGCAGAGTGCTGCTTGTATGCTGGCAGAAACAAATTAAGTAACTAATCAAAGGTTCCTGTCACCCCAACGCACCTGCTTCTAAAGAAGGAGCTGCTCTGCCCGCCACGTCCTTCCACAATTTTCTGCAGAACTTATGGTGTGCTGAAGAAGCTTCCCATTTGGTCTCTGCATGAGACAACATACTCAGCAAGGTTTACCTCCTCCTGCTGAAAGCATCAAGTGTTCCTGGATCAGCCCAAAGTACTATTTAGTATCTTGACTGGTCGGTCCAAACAAAACATGACAGACTACTGCTACTGTTTTTGTTTATAGTCAGTGGCTGAAATCCAGTTATAAGTTGCAACCAGAACAGGCCCATTCCATCAGTGAGGATTTAGTGAGTCAACTCCATAAGTTCCATTGCTTCAGACGGACTTAGTCTACATAATTGCAACTTATTACTGGATTTCAACCCATATTTAATAATAAGAATGTGCCATCTACTCATTTCTGAATTATGGAGACCCTCACAGGGTTTTCTAAGTAAGAGGTACTCAGAAATAGTTTTCTAGTTCTTTCTTCTGATGGTTCTCTGAGACCTTGTTGCTTGCCTAAGGTTACACAGGTAGCAAAGCATGGAACTCAGTCATGCACACTCCAGCTGTTCTTGGGTGATGCCTCTCCCAGGAGGCCCAGGGGTGAGGGATTTGAATTCCTGGTCTGTGGCTCCTCAGTCAGGTGCTCTAATCCACTGAGCTGTATCAGCTCCGTGAATATTTGCAATTTGCAGCATTTCCAATTAACTTTATACAGTATGTCAAATGGTATGTCAAAAATTCACAAGACAATTAAGAGCAAATTCCACATCTACTGAACTACAGTTCCCACTTTCTCCCACTAGCATGCACTTTGATGATCAGGAATTGGAATTGTATTCAAGCACAATGAGTGCCACATTGGGAATGTTTCCCCTAGACAATGATAGCTCCCTCATGGCATCTGCAGCTCTCTGAGATATTACATAATTAAAAAACAACAACAACAATTATCCCAAAAGCCAATATAGAATTATAGGAAATCCAGCCAGTTTGTTGGAAGGCCTTCTTTTCATTCTTTTCATTCTATAAACCCCCATGCCCTGTTTCTCTGACTATTTAGACAGGCTTTCCTGGATATCACATTGTCAGAGTGCAGAGGTGCTGTCAGCACTTAAATTATCTTTTCTGCCACTTTTCTTGGTGTTTTCATGTTGTCTTTTTCTTCGTTTTTCTTTTTCTTAGTTTAAGTAGATATATATGTTTAATTTGATTTTTGTACTGTTATTGTCTTGTCAATTTATTTAAAGTGTTGTTGTTTTATCATGCTGTGCACCAATATTTGCAATTTGCAGCATTTCCAATTAACTTTATACAATATGTCAAATGGTATGACAAATGTGCCTATGTTGACATCACTTCTGTCCAGCCCAGGGCACAGCTCACAGAGAGCAGCTGGAGTTTTTACCAAGAGCTAAAATCCTACCGGATGGGGGAACTGCGTGGAGTGGGACAGGAACTTGTGGCACCTCCTGAACAAACAAGATTTTTGCAGCATTTCCAATTAACTTTATACAATATGTCAAATGGTATGACAAATGTGCCTATGTTGACATCACTTCTGTCCAGCCCAGGGCACAGCTCACAGAGAGCAGCTGGAGTTTTTACCAAGAGCTAAAATCCTACCGGATGGGGGAACTGCGTGGAGTGGGACAGGAACTTGTGGCACCTCCTGAACAAACAAGATTTCAGCTTTTTTCAAAAGAACTGGGCATGTTCCATTTTTAGAGTTTGGAAGCACTGCAAAAACGTAGCCAAGTCTGTTTAATCTAATGAAGTGATGTACAGAAAAGTGTATGCGTATACAT